GTTATAAGTGAGACACAGAATAGCAAACACCACAAGCTCTCAAAGGTGACATGGAAGAAAAAATGGTTTCCTAATAAAGGGGATAAGGGTGCCCAGAGGTGGTGAAAGCTGGGTGCAAAGAGTAGAGGGGCTCAGGGATGAGCACAATCGGACAGAGCACACGTCTAATGTTCTGTGACACAGCTGGGTAACTACTTAGCTGCATATTTCAAATTAGCTAACCAAAAGGATTTTTTTTTTCTTAAATTCTCAAGAAAAAGCAATGATAAACAGGAGACAGAACAATTACTCTAACTCTTGTGTGGCTTATGTAAATGTATTACAACCATGTTGCACCTTATAAATACATATAGGTGTGTGTTAATACTCTGTTTGAGAGAGAATCTTGCTTTACAACCCAGGCTCGACTTGAACTCATGACCCTCCTGCCTTGGCTTCCAGAGGGCTGGAACTATAGCTTTGTGCTACAGTTCAGATTAATGAAAAAAAAAAAGACTAGGAATGCAAATGACTGTGTAGAACAGGACTCATGCCCAGTGCACTTTATAGCAGGGAGCCGTCATACTCACAGACTTGAATCAGGAACTACTCTGAAGACCTCAGGTGGGATATGAAGCCAGAGGGTACCAAGGCAGCATCTCCCTTGGGCTGTTTCATTAGTACTAAGAAGCCACTCCAAAACTCACTGGCTCAAAACAAGCATTTTAGTTCCTACTCATTCACATGTGGGTCAGGGTGGACTACAGCCATGGTTCTCAACCTGTGAGGCATGATCCGTTTGGATGGGGGTTGAATATCAGATATCCTGCATATTAGATTTTCACATAGTAATTCGTATCAGTAGCAAAATTACAGTTATGAAGTAGCAATGAAATAATTTTATGGTTGGGGTCACCACAACTTATGGAGCTGTATTAAAGGGCTGCAGCATTAAGAAGGCTGCGAACCAGTGGTCTACAGACTTCTCGTCACAGACCGAGCATTAATTTCTTGTCCTGCAGGGACTAAGAGTTATCCAGGACATGTTCTCCTCCCAGTGAATGGCAGGAATGCAGGGGGCTGAATGCGCAGAAGCATCCTATTCTAACATTCTATTGCCTAGCGACCCGGGCCAGCTCAAAGTCAAGGGACAGGAAAGCATGCTTCATTCACCAAGGAGGCATAGCAAGGACACAGATACAGACTAAGTGAAAGCTAAGTGAAAGGATCTGCCCACAGCTGTCTACCTCGTCTGTCCCCTGTGCAGTCTGCAGCATCTGCCTGCATCTTTATACATCTAGAGTATGAGCCCTCACTGGGACAAGACTTCTGTCTGCTCTGTCCACTGTGGTCTTCTCAGAATGCTGCCTCTGGGTTTTGTTCATCTATCTTCCTAGTGTCAAAACATGCACACAGTGGACAAACAATGGCTGACTGGCTGCCCCAGACCATGTCCCCAGCCTTATAAGTTTCATGATGTTGAGTCTGGTACCCCCGAGCCAACCTCATTTGCCAAGCTTTATTCAGACATCATCCCCCTTCTGTCAGACATGATAACAAGGAAGAATGCAGGCAGCTCAGTGAAAGAGAAGGGGACGTGGATAGGCAGATTCCTTTAGAAACCCTTCACGACCTAATCCATGCTTACGCATAGGCTGTTAGTATCCTATGATGAAGAAGGCTGGCTTTAGGGCCAGGCAAGCCTAGAATAGATTCCACGGCAGCTATTTGCCAACTGTGATACGCTAGGCACGTGTGCAGACACTCTGAGTTAGCCTTTTCCCATCTATAAAATGGCGAGTGTTGCCTTCGGGAACCATTGTAGAATAACATAAATGTGTTTGTACAGTGGATGCCACACGGTAAAGCCTGAACCAATGGGGACCACTTCTATCACGAATCTTAGGTCCTGTGTCTGCCACACTCTTCTCCACCCTTACACATATTCGGTATCAGGCTCAATTAAGTTCTGTTTAGTGGATTGTACTTGCAGTATATACTTAGTCCAAAGTAGCCGCTGTTGTTGAGTACAGACTCCTCCAGGTCTGGGTGCAGAGTCACACAGCCTTTGCCAGAACCCCGAGGTAGAAACACTCAGGGTGAACCTGCTTGGTCACGGAGGTCCACCCACACCTCTGGCTGTGAAATGCACTAGAAATCTAGAGTCCTTCTATTTCACAGATGCTCCCTGGGCTGTCCAAGACGAGATCTAAGCGAACTTGATGTCATACAAATTAAACTAAGGCATACTACACAATTTTATCAATGCAGGCTTTGTATTCTATGCAGATATGCAGCACAGACAGGTTAAAAAATGAACCACAGAACAAAAGCTAGCAGCATCTCCACAAAGGGTCTATTGGCTTCCCATGGTTCCCACTACTCTAAGTCGGGCATAGCTGTGGTGAGATTTTGTTTGTGCTGTGTTGACCGAGGGGCAGGCCGACCTCTGCGAATTCAAGGTGTGGTGGCACACACCTTTAATCCCAGCACTTGGGAGGCAGAGGCAGGTGGATCTCCGGGAGTTTGAGGCCAGCCTGGTCTACAGGGACCAGGCGGGACAGAAACCTCGGTCAGCACAATGGTACCCATATGGACAACTGCATCCACATAAACCTGAGAGAGTCTGGGAAATAATTCTAGACAAAAGAAAGGGGTGGGAGAGAGTAAAGCACGGCTTATTGATAGCAGCACATTCTCAGATGGACTCTGCTTGTTAGAGGCAAGCACTCTCATTTAAGAGAGGCTTCCTGACTCAGCTTTAGCTACAAAACCTTGCAGCTTTTAACAAAACACTTAAATGGTGTTGATGAAAAGGTAACTGCATGCTTTTTGGTGGTGGCAGGGATCTTGAAACGCCATGGAGTGGTGGCGATAAACAAGGCTCCCGTAGTACTTCTGCCATGAGGCTGGAATCTCAGAAAGCTAAGTAATGGGCTGGATCCAGCCATCAAAGTCATGGCTTTAATCCTAGTCATATCGCTTAGCAAATTAAAGACTCACATGGTCACAAAAAGAGAGACATATACAGTAAAGAGAGATTCAAAGATGACGAAAACCTCTACATGGTTTACAGTGTGTTAAAAATATATGCAGGCTTGGGAGAGAAAAGAAAAATGTTAAAGTCCTTAAAATAAAAAAGAAAGAGAGTAGTTGGGTGTAGTGGCAAACACCTTTAATCCCAACACTTGGGAGACAGAGGCAGGCAGACCTCTGTGTGGTGTAGAAGGTCCTTCTATCTTTGTGTTGCTTTCATTGGTTAATAAAGAAACTGCCTTGACCTAGTTGATAAGGCAGAACTTAGGTAGGCGGGGAAGACAGAAATGAATTCTGGGAGGAAGAAGGCAGAGTTGGGAAAGATATGCCATGCATCCGCCAGAGACAGACACTGGAAATTTTATCCGGTAAGCCACTGCCATGTGGCCACATACAGATTAATAGAAATGGGTTAAATTAATATAAGAGTTAGCCAATAAGAAGCAAGAGCTAATAGGCAAGGCAGTGATTCAATTAATACAGTTTCTGGGTGGTTATTTCGGGGCTAAGCAAGCTGGACAGCCAGGAAGAACAAGTAGCCCCTCCTTGCAACATCTGTGAGTTCAAGGTGTGGTGGCACACACCTTTAATCCCAGCACTTGGGAGACAGAGGCACAAGGATCTCTGTGAGTTCAAGGCCACCTTGGGCTACGTGAGATTGAAGTAGTCTAAAAGAGAAACAGCTCGCACATTTGATCCCAGCACTTTGGATTGCATCCCTTTAAACCCAGCACTAAGGAGGTGGAGACTGGAGTGACATGGCAGGGTGGAGAGATGAATATAAGGTGGGAGGAGATGAGAGCTCAGGACATTCAGTCTGATGATCTGTAGGGACAGGATTGCCCCTTTGGTCTGAGGATTCAGTAGAGGTAAAAACTAGTGGCTGGCTGCTCAGCTTCCCTGATCTTTCAACATTAACCCCATATCAGACTCTGGGTTTTTATTAATAAGACCAACTAGAATTCGTGTTACACCTGGCCACATGGACGATGTCTGACCAGCTTTTAGGTTTGACTAACCCAATGAATAAGCACTGAGAATAGCAATATCTTAAAAACTTTTCATGTTTGAGATTCTGATAGTTTCTTTCCCTACCTACTATACCACAAAACCACTAAAGACTTCCAACAAGACTGTGCTAGTGCCAAACCACATACTCAGTTTCCATAGTGAGAAGACACCGACACTCCTCAGGGCAAGAGTCTCCATGCAGTTTAGCTGGGATAACGAAGGTAATTTTTACACATTTTATAAACACAAATCCTTCAAGGAGTACAAAGAACATCCCCTTAAATTCAAAGGTTCTGAGGAGAACTGGGATGGATTTATAAAGCTGCCCTTATTGTGCATAACTGAGACTTTAAAAAAGCCAATGAAGAACTCCAGTTAGTACCTGAGGTGATGCGAACTGAATCCTAAGCACCTGGTTAGCTGTGCCAGTATCCTCATCAGGAAGCCTTGGTTGGAGGGACGAAGCACCAGGGAGACAGACTGCAGAGGCTGTCACATTCTCTCAATCTCATCTACAATTTGCTTCAGTAAATCACACTCTGAAGCAAAACCATGCATTTCCACCTCCAGCTGCGAACCAGAGTGACTCTCGGGGGAACAAAGGCAAAGTAACTGTGGTGGTTTGAAAGAGAATGTCAGCCAGGTGGTGGTGGCACACACCTTTAATCCCAGCACTTGGGAGGCAGACAAATCCCAATGAGTTTGAGGACAGCCTGGTCTACAAAGAAAGTTTCAGGACAGCCAGGACTGTTACACAAAAAAACCCTGTCCCAAAAAACCAAAAAAGAAAGAAAGGAAGGAAGGAAGGAAGGAAGGAAGGGAGGAAGGAAGAAAAAAGGGAGGAAAAAAAGTTAATAAAAAGAAAATGGTCCCCAAAGGGCATGTGTCACTATGGGGGTGGGCTTTGAGGTCTCACCTATGCTCAAGCTACTCCAGTGTTTTAGTCAACTTCCTGTTGCCGGTAAGATGTAGAACTCTCAGCTCCTTCTCCAGCACCGTGTCTGCCTGCATGCTGCCATGTCCCACCATGACAATGGACTAAACTCTGAACTCTAAGTGAGCTGCCACAATAAAATGGTTTCCTTCATAAGAGTTCCATGGTCATGGTGTCTCTGTACAGCAATAGACACCTAAACTAAGAGAGTAACTACTGCTTCCAAGTTGTCACTAACAATCTGGGAAGTCTACACAGCCTGTTAAATGCTCACAGAACCACTACAGTGTATTAGCAGGTTAGCGCTCTAAGCTGGTCACACCTTACCTCTTACAGAGTGCGGGGAGGATAGGGACATTAAATATATCACAGAACAGGGGTCAGGGGAAGCTGCCAGAACTTTCTAGAATGCCTCTTCCTTTTCATCCCCGGATGGAACAGCACAGCCCTCATGGTTATGAAGAAGTAAGTGCAAAGATCTGCGCGGTGGGCCACTGGGACTGGAAAAGGGGATGGTGTGCGCTGATGGTCTCTGTACAAAGGGGAGGGAGGTGACAGTGGAGAAACTCTAGTGACCGGCGCAAATGAAAGTGGGGTAAATGGGGAGGAGGGACATCAGGAAGTACACGGTCTGATACAACATTCATCCAAATCTTCCAAACGCCAACTTCAAACCACTGGAAACAGTTTATTCCTTAGAGAGCAGAACTCCAACTCGGGTCTCAAGCCTGAGCCTTCACACTGGGGAAGCTTTCTTCCAGGTCCTCGGCAAGAGCCTTGTCAACCTTGCGAAGGACTTTAATGAAGTCTTCCACCTGTGAACCACACGAAGAACCAAGTAACTGTAGTGGAGGAACAGGCAGTTTTTGTTTTTTGGTTTTTTTTTTTTTGTTTTTCGAAACAGGGTTTCTCTGTGGCTTTGGAGCCTGTCCTGGAACTAGCTCTGTAGACTAGGCTGGCCTCGAACTCCCAGAGATCCGCCTGCCTCTGCCTCCCGAGTGCTGGGATTAAAGGCGTGCGCCACCACCGCCCGGCGAGGAACAGGCAGTTTTAAAGACATTCGTGGTCAACTATGAAAATGCTCCTCCAGAGGCTCTGAAGCCGACAGAAGCATGCAGTAGATTCACAGAGGTCAGCCATAGCACTTCTTGCAGTCACCGGAAATACTCTAGTAGAGACTCTAGAAGTGTGAGCCCTGACCAGCTCCTTCCCTCCTGAGCTATCACAGACCCCGACTGCTTCCCTTTAGGACCGACACTCTATCATAACCCTCTCTGCACTGACACTCTATCATAACCCTCTGTGCACTGACACTCTATCATAACCCTCTCTGCTGACAGGTCCCTTACGCTTTCATTTTCCACAGTTCATTTTCCTAAAAACTCTTATTTTGAAATTACGTTCAATGGTAATAAATAGTGTTGTGTGAAAAATCATAAAAATGTATTCATAAAAATTAGGTTTGGGGGCAGGCATGGCGGCACATTTTTTTAATCACAGAACTCAGGAGGCAGAGGCAGGCAGATCTCTATGAGTTCAAGGCTAACCTGGACTATAGAGTTACAACCAGTCTATGCTAAACAGTGAGACCCAATCTCACAAGGTGGTGGTGGGGGAACGGCAGGGAAGAGAGAGAGAGAAGAAAAATTTAGCTCCTGAGTTCAGAACTGGCTATTCTTCTAGAGGACCTGGATGTAATTCCCAGCACCCACATGGCAGCTCCCAACCATCTGTAACTCCAGCTGCAGGGGATCCAATACCCTCCTTTGGCCTATTTGCCAACTGAACACATATTCCGCACAGATATACATTGAGGGGAAAACACACACACACAAATAAAATCTCAAAAAACTTAAATTAAAAAATTTAGACTTTCACTTACTATACAGGCTGTCTACTTCATAATAGGAAGGGGCACTATAAACCCATGTTGATTCCTTCCTCTTGAGATCATAACTAATCTCAAGGCACAAGGCATTGAATCCTGTAAGGTATAGCACCGTTTCTGACAGAATCTCAGCCCCGTGCATTCTCCCTACTCAC